TCTCCATAGGCGTCTCTTCCCTGTCAATTTCCATATCGACGACGACAACCAGCATCATTAAATCGAAGAGTAAGCTCACACGCAGGTGTATCATTTCTTGAGCGCCGTTGATTAACAGCTTGAGACCAAATCTCGTGTGCACTAGATCCGACGCATGTTCTGGAAGACCATGAGCCAAACCATCGAGAATGGCAAGAAAAGTGTCAGTTTCTAGACCATTGAAACCTCCTATTTGGTGTAGTGCGCCCACCAAATCGTCGAAAGCCGCGCTGCCAATCTCATCGGCAAAGTTGCATTGATCGTAGAAATATTGGATGCGAAGCGGAACAGAATATGAAGGGTCAAGCCAAAGCTCGCTAGCTAAGACCCTACCGCAGGTGCTTCGAAGCCGGTAGCTGAAGCTACGTCTAAAGGTCGTTGCTGCTTCGATGATTACTGCAAGCTCATCTGGAAGCCTGGGCTCAGCTCCGGGATCTGCTTCGATAGACGGAGTCGGTAACAAATTGTTCGATACGCTCAAATCAGCTGAGCTGTTGTGGGTTATATTTTCGATCTTATCACAGCTACGTATTGCAGAACATCCATCGGCGAAAGCAACCCAAGGCATCTGAGCGTGCTCATCACAGGCGAGAGACAAAACCTCCCATCTCGATATGTTCAGATCACGTATGTCTTGCCACAGTACAGTCCACTCTTCGTTGGTGGCTGTACGGTATGTATCAAAATCGGATGCAGCATTGACTATGCTGACATGGGTTACGATCGCTGAATTCATTCGTTCTTTCAACGGAGCCTTGGGGTTGGGTAGTGTGATTGAGCGCTCCGAGCAATACATGCCAAGAGCTGTCTCGAGGATTGTCTCTGGGTATTTGCACGGATAGAAGATGTAATCAAGCCACTTATCAGTTGCATCTTCAGGGTCCAGGTCGGAGATCAGTGGTGGTTCAGAGTCATCCAGAGTCTCGAAGGCCGTAGTCGACCAGCTATCATGCCATACGTTTATCAGATCTTGGATGTCATATTTCAGATTGTACAGTTTGTACTGCCGGTTTGACCTCATGAGAATCCATATCTCGAGGCTTTTTCCTTGCTGACCACCGGTGATCTTGAAGTCCGCAACTTTCCATATGGATTTGCTTTCCGGACTGGGGTCGGGATCTGGTGGCTTCAAAAGATACTCTGGGAAGAGATCGAGGACGCCCTTGGCACCATGGTCTGGATCCCGGATGCCCCAGAATTTAAATTGTCCAAGATCGTGTGGAGAGAAAGTTACAGCATAGTACTCGCATCCACCTATGATCTCATCGATCCTGAAAATTTGGAGTAAATTTGGACTGCCTGGGTCCAGCGTCACCTTTGGTATGTCGTGCAGCTCACGATGCTTCCACAGCAGATCCATAGAAAACACACTGGCGGCCTTGTTTAGATTCCAGATTCGTAGGGTGTGGTTTAGACACACAACGAACACATGCTTCTTGTCTGGAGATCTTGCCATGGCGATGGGTGTGCCCTGCTCTAGCAGATTGCCGTCATAATTTACAGTGTTGCTTCCCTGCCACCGAACAAGTCCTCGGAGAGATGAAGCCCATTGCCCATCACCGTATGTTGCCTCTTGCCACTTCGACCCATCTTCGTCTTTGCTCCTGGTCAACCGTAGAATCCGGCCATCACTCAGTGAAACGATAAGCTGTCGGAAACTTGCAGCGATCAGACTGTGAGGCGTGCTTATGCTGAATGTGGCCGGCTTAGATACCTTGCACCACCTTGACACGTCCTCTTCTGACGCTGCGGCGAGGCAGAAAAAGTCTTTGCGAAGCGAGAAGGTGTATAGCTCACTCCACCTTGTCAGAGCGAAAACGTTTAGGACATTTTGATCTTCCGAGTCCGCCAATGCTATGCCGCCGTGCTTGAGCCCGGCTGGGAAGCAAAGCTGTATAATGTAAGACGCTTCCCTTGTCTCATCGCTGCTCTTGCTTAGATCAATGGAACGTAGCTCCAGAATTTTCCCTTCTTGCAGTACGCGCCATAGGAAGCTTCGTGGATGTCGCTTGGATCTGCCGAAATAGAGGGATCCAGCTTTTGCAATACAGCACTTTGTGAATGAGTCCTCATCTCTGTGACCGGTAGTATTCTTCAGGATCCGTCGTTGCTGTCGTGGTCGAACAGTGAACGAGCTGTTGGAAGGGATCTGTATCTGGATCACTGAGCCTGGAGTGATGGGCTCAAGATCTGCTCTGGTCTCTTTAAAAAGAGCTATCGAGCTCACTGGACCTTCGGGATCCATTGAATCGCGGCTTGCAGCCAGCTGCTGTTAGTGGGGGACCCAAAATTCAATATATTTGCTGCGCGTCTGTTGAAACATTCTTGTCGCGCCGGCTGTTTTAGCGTATGCAGAAAACCTTACAATTCTTGGCGCCGAGAAAATCGCACGCTAAGGTATCTATCAACTCCTTCTAGATCTTTTATAAAAGTCATTAATACGTAGTTTAAGAATAAATATCCTATATTCAAGATACTCAATTTAATCTACTCTATATTTTACCTTTAAATCTTATATGTTTTATCTCAAATTTCTATTGATTACTCTATTCTCAGACTTAACAGAGTATCTGTAAATATTTAGTATATAACGCTTTTCAAGAACTTCCAATTAGAATTACTTTGAAGTATAGACAAAGTTTAGTATATTTACTATAAAGATCTTGTTGTTAGACGTCGTGGCGATATTTCTTTAAGAGTTCAAAGGCAGCTGACAGGTGTGTGCGATTTTCTCGATGCCATGAATTGTAACGTTTTCTGCATACGCTAATTCTCCGGCAAACCGCGAATTGCAGGGCTCTCAAGCACCCTTAGGTACAATATATCCAGTCTTCTTCTATTGGGAGAGGAGTGCCAGCAATTGGACTAAATTCCATCAGATGCGGCGATCTCTGTACACTGTATTGCTACAGTGTCGGCTACATCAAGACGACACTTCGTTTCCGACGACAAGGCTTACCTCGATTGCTACTTTTTACTTCCTAGCCAGCCCATAGGACTATTTCTTGGCCTAATTTGTGCCTCAGGACCATTACTTCTCCATACGTCGTGCCACGCAATTCGCTCTTGGCCGTACATTTCTTCAAGAAATATAATTTGTCGTTGATTATGAGAGGTCCAACTTCTCCGTCAACCAGACCCCATTTCTCAACCCATCCCTACGATATTCCTTCGGAGCTTTATCTGTGGTTGGGAGTATTTAGTTCGTATTAGGTTCGATTCCTAATGGCGCTGGTACAATGGTGTTGCGGTGCTTTTTATTTGCTTTAGCGTCTCATGCTCGAAGGTTCAGTGACCACAATTCTTGCAACCCAGGACTAGCTCCAGGAAGCGAAAGAGATCAAAAGTCTCTTCGGCCCGTGACATCCAATGTATGATATACACTGTGACTGAAAGGATGCTTATTTTATTTAGCTACTCCCGCAGCACTGTTCATATCCAATAGCATCATCTCATACGGCCTTTAAATTGATTAGATATTTGGGACAATATGAGGTATTGTGTGCGCTCTCTTCCCCAAGAGCATCATCACGTGCGCTGCAATAGCTAGTCGCATGATACTACACGTCTGCAAGTTGATGACTAACCAATGTAAGTAGATAGGTCCTCTGCCATGCAAATCCTTGTTACTCCAAAGTCTTCGTTCGCATGTAGTCTTCCCGCCTGCTTTTCACGGGCCCCCAGCGTGCGCGCCTGGTGGGAAGCCAGCAACGGCAAAACCACACGTTCCGACGACACCGCTCGCTTCGTCGAGGTCACAGACAACGGCAAAATCATTGCCTTTGCCTAGTGGACAGTGGCTTCCTACAGCGGAGCCGACGCAGCAACAATGGGAGGGGGCGGCCCGGATGCTCTACCTGAGGGGCCAGAAGGGAGCGAGAAGAATCTGTTCAGTCAATTCTTCGGGGCTCTGGCGAAACAGAGGAAGAAGATCATGACAGAGAGAGGTCATTACTGTAAAATATATCTCAACATACCGTAGCCGCTGGGTGACACGACTAAAGTACGGTCAGTGGTTAGAGATGCTCGCTACCCTACCAGAACACCAAGGCAAGTGAGCGGCGAGCCAGTTGATTTGATGGGATTCAGCACAGGTCGACGAAGATGGGTTAGAAGCCCATATCAAAGCCTGACCTGAAGGAGCACCGATCTATGAGCTTTTCGGGTGGCGGATTGAAGGGGAAGTGGTGGCTTTGTTTGGGAAGTATACGGAGCTCTCCATGTGGAGTCCTGTCTAAGAGAGTGGACACGGCCTACAGGTGATGTGGAGTATTGGCATGTTCAGAGTAAGAGGATCGAGCAAAAGTCGTGCGTAGAGGGCGAAGACCCTGAACGAGGTTGTAGATGTCCCGCAGTTGCCAGAAAATAATAACAATTTTCCTAAAAACTTTCTATGAACTGTTGTATTACCTGCAAGAAGGAAGTTGTAGACGTCGTTCATTTCCGGCCCAGTGCCAGAAAAGAATGTCCCTTCTCGCAGACTTTCCCCAAAAACCGTTCATTATCTGCAAGGGAATTGGTGCTCTTCTTTTTCTTTCTTTTTTTATTGTCTAATACTTTCATTTGAGATCCTCTAACGGAAAAAGTCGGGTTGTTTCAATCAATATCCAAGAGATGCGTGCAAATGAAAAGAAAGAGGGCTTGCTCCTCTGGTGAATTTGCAATCTCTCTTTGCTACATTCTCTTGCGACGGTCACCATTATGAAGTCTGACAGGAGTGCGAGGGTTTGCAAGTGCGAGCAAGAAGATTCTCGGTAGAAAATGGTAAGCAATCAAGCCGCCCTTTGACATTCCCTCGTTTCGGCCATACAAACACTCAACAATCGGCGCCGCAACATCCCTCGCAGCGGTAGAGGAGCAATGTCCCACGCCCTTTGCGTCTTGACTTACAACGCCCCACTGAACCGGAAACCCGGATACCGAAGTGTAGTAAGATAACGGCTACCAAAAAGATCAGAGCGTCACTGCCGAGCTTGTTCAGTATAGATGGCAGTCTCGTCAACATTGCCACTCACATCACCAGGGCTGAGTACCATCTTCGCCGGCTTGCGGCCGAGGCCCAACGCCGTCTTGAAGGGCGCCATTCCATGGGCACTGGTCGTTTCCACGCAACGTTGCAATCTGCTCGAAAATGCCTGTAAGATACAATACTCATGCCTTGGGTGTGGACATCCGGTCTTTCCAGGAACGATGCTAACGCATCTCCAAGGATCGAAAGGGGTGGGTCAGAGTGCTTGGAGTAGCGGTTAGCCGTGTAAATTGTGGACAAACATTTGCAGAAATTGACGCAGCAAACAACTGGATTCTGATCAGACACCGTGGGTACCCACACATCGAACAGGCAGTTCGCTTACCAATCATGAGTCAATGGGAATAAACCACACCACAGCGCTTACCCGTGGGACGATATGAGGCCATGCAGTAATCTATCTCGTAGCCTACCACGTTCCAGTGGGAGATGGCCGAAATCTCTTGGTCTTCGCTCTCGTACCCGTGCGCTGCGAGCTTTTTGCAGCTGAAAGTGTTTGACTGTCTGCACATCCACTCGCCAGGATGGTTACCCTTATGCACACCGATCTCAATAGCGCCCTGTGTCCCACAAGCTAGCACGAAATTGTTGGCATTGTTCGTATTATTGATGTCTAGGGCGATCAAAACAATGTCTGAACGATCTCCAAACGGAGTCGAGTACTGTTTTAAACAATCAAGCGGGCTTAGTCTTGTCAGGCTCGTGCCGTTATGCACAGCATTTTGCATGTTTACGATATCCCCAGAGGTCGGCCAGGAAGCTTGATTGTTGAGGCTGCTAATGGCTGCATTACTGGCAAGCCCCTATCGCTGACAAGATCCAAGACTTGCTCACTGCCTCTTTCTTCTAGAGTTCTATTTGTTGCACTGAGATCCCAAGGGGCGTTGTTTAAGTAATCTGGCGTCACGACTATCCAGTTGTAGCTATCGCTGACCAAGGTTGGAAACACCGCTGAATTGTATCTGTACTCGCCGGCGATAAGTGTTGTGTATAGATCGTGGAGCTTCCTCATGTCACTTACAGAAGATGAAGAGGGACAGAGGATACCCCTAGAATAGCACAAATGACCAATCTATCCCGACCGATGTGTCTGAGGTTTCGAAAGCTCGGCACCCAAATATTTTTTGTGTGCTCTTTCAATTTCCGAGGGTGTAGGCGCCGCCAGAAGTTGCATACACAGGTCTGAGGCGCCGAGTAAGAGGGCACTGAGCAGGTTGATTACCACGTGAAGATCCGTACTAATCTTCTCCGTCTTGGAACAATCACCTTGGTAGAGAGTATTGATATCGCTATTAGCTCCCCATTTCGACTTGAACACAACCGTACACGAAAGGTTAATTAGGAAGATCACTACCGAGGTTACGGAGCAAGTTTGCATAACAATATCTCTTCTCGAATGCCAGGCCCTAAATTTTTTCGCCCGTTCATGTTCTGGGTCTGCTTTGGGAAACCAAGGTCGTAAGAGCCTTAGCGTTGCGAATCGAGCTTCTGCGAATCCTTCTTTCATCTCGGCCGGAGTCGGAGCGTTCTCACTTGGTGCATCGCGCGAGCATTGAGGTTGGAGTCCAATGAGGGGAGTCTCTTCGGCTGCTGAAGACCTCTTGACGCTCAGAGATTCAGTGGGGGTCCGGCTGCATCTATTAGGAGCATAGAGGTAAACGAAGGAAAAGTACTTACATAGCACTCAAGCAGCAGTTTAGCGAAGTCTTCGGTCTCTAGCGCCTGGAGCCACAGGTCTCTCTCTTCGGCAACGTTCGGTGGGGTCCCAGCCCGACTGACAGATTCTTCGGTAGGCGTCATTCCTTCCTTCGTAGGCGATTGCATCTTGCGACGACAAATGCAGGGAAAGGAACGTTGATTGATCCGAATCAACAGAAATTGTATTATGAACCCCTGGCATTTTCGAGGTTGCTGATTCTCAGCCTCGCGGATGCCTTGTTTGGTGAGTAAAGTAGATTGATTGGTTCCCGGATATTGATAGGCGCCTAAATTTTGCAAATGTAGCGACGGAATGGAACGATACCAGGCGACGGCGTTCGACTTCTTTTCGAGCGGGTTCGAAGACATGACAGCAGCCTCCCCCAAAAGTTGTCCAAGGCTCACGAGCAAGATGTTCTTGACAGCTTCGTTACCCCATTCTCAATTGTCGCAATACAGGCTTGCCTTTCTTACATCAGCCCATCCGTTATCTTCAAGAGAGTGTGGCTGCAGCAGCTACCGCGGGCAGTGCTCCCAGAGCGTCCAATCGCCATGAAGACCGAAAAGACGCATATGCAGCCCTGCAACGATCGGACACGGAAGAGATTCGTACGCATGCCGTCTACGTCAGGCTGATGTTCAGAACAAGTGGCATTTTCCGCAGACGGACGAAGGTTACTAATTTCACGGCTAAGCAATACGGAAAAAAACTTTGTCGTGTATAAAACGTAGAGCTTGCCTCTCCCGTTCTAGAATCTAAGTTGCAGGACTTTCCGGATAAGTATTGCCGTTGTCTTTCTGTGGGTAGATAGATGTCATGCCAAGACTTCAACTTATTCTGACCATTAGTCTGACGTCTTCGTGCATATCATCATCCATTGCCCTCATTCCGTTGCAGAGGATGCATGGTTTGAGCATTCGCTTGGGGAAGAAAAACAACCAAATGTCCAATCAAAAAGCGAACGCATTTGCGAATCCTTTCGTGCCTACCAATCTTTCAATTAAACCCTCGGTTTTTCTAAACCTTCATCTCCTAATCATGAATCATGGGAACACTGACCCTGCCTGATCTGCTTGCCCTCTTGGGATTCTATATCCTCCATGTCCTCGGTCTGTATGTTTACGTCATATACTTCGACTCCTGTCCACGTTCCCAGGGCGCAAAACCCGCAGCAGTAAACATCGGGAAAGATCCAAAGTGGCGCACACAATGTAGTTCATATAGCATGAGATATCATGAGCCGAAGAGACTTCGGTTCCTGGACATGCTTGGAAGATCGTGAGAATGGTTGTATCATTGAACGTTAAGGTATGAGACGTAAAGGAATATTACACTCTCAGATGGGGGACAGCACCTATTCCGGATGGAGAGTACCGTTGAGTTACGACAACACGATGAGAAGAGCCCAAACCGAAGTCCTCAACCCACGATATATAGGCTACAGTGGGTTTCTGGGGGCATATGGTTAGGTAGACGTGATTTGCTCGCTGGTAAAGGTCTGCTTGCGACCGAAACAGTCAGCGGCATAGGTTTATGCCGCCGACTGCAGAACACAACAGACTTTCTGGTAACTTTGACTTTTGTCTCAAGGTGCTTTTTGGTACTCTACCTCGGCTATTCTCCGGCAAATTGCGATTTGAAGCGCGCGCAACAGACCCCATCATTCTTCTTTACCCCATCTCTCATCTACGCAAACCCCCAGCCTATCCTCCCCCCACCACCATGTCAGCAGCAGCAGACGGCTCCGGCCCCACGGCCAAAGCAACCACGGCCGCCGCCGACACCTCCACCACGCTCAAAGACCAGCAAAAGCCCGCCGCGGCGCTGGAGGAGGACGACGAGTTTGAGGACTTCCCCGTCGACGGTACGCCCGTTCTTTCTTTTCCCACGGTACAAGAGAGGTTGAGAGAGGAGGGGACGGTGTTGTGCTGACGGGTGCGCCTGCCGCAGATTGGGCTCCGGAAGAGAGCGAAGTGCCGCCGGGGCAGGAGGGCGGGACGACGCATTTGTGGGAGGAGAGCTGGGACGATGACGATACGAGTGAGGACTTTTCGAAGCAGTTGAAGTGAGTCGTTGGGTTGGACGCTGTCTCAGAATCGGGTTGGGGTGCTGACGATGTGCGCAGGGAGGAGTTGGCGAAGGTCAAGGGTCAGAAATAGAGTTGGGGAGGAATCACGGAGGCATTGATGGCGCTTGGGTTGCATAGATCGGATCAGATAAGACAGAGGCTCTGCCAATGCGAAAAGTCGAGATCAGAGCATGGATTTTGTGGTGCTATATGGGATCTATTGAAGCTTGCTTGCTAAAGAGATGTCTATCTACAAGAAGAGGAGATCATAAGCCATTGTCGTCCAGTCATTTTCCTCCCCCCCCCATCTCAGAGCCTCATTCCGGTCCCTTCTCCGCATCAGAGCCACCTGCAGCAAGATCGTCCCCATAGGAGCTCATCTACTTACCCCTCGGCTTCTCCGACAGCGTACTGACGCCCGGCAGCTCCTTGCCTTCAAGCAACTCCAAACTCGCTCCACCCCCAGTCGATACATGACTGAGCTTGTCCTCAACCCCATACTTGGCCGCCACAGTCGCTGTGTCTCCGCCCCCAACGATGACGATATTTCCCTTTTTCACTGCTTCCGTCGCAGCCTCCATAACCATCTTTGTGCCATTCGCAAACGGTTCCATCTCAAAGACACCTGGTGGTCCATTCCACAGTGTCGTCTTGGCCTCAGCGATGGTTTTCTTGAAGAGCTCAATACTCTTTTCGCCGCAGTCAAGCCCCATCCAGCCGTCTGGGACACCCTCAGAGTCGGTTGCATAGCCGGTCTTTGCATCCTTGTCGAACTTGTCCGCTGTCACATAATCGCAGGGTAGCACCAGCTTAACGCCATTCCTCTTCGCCTTCTTAACCAGATCGCCCACGGTTTTGCTGCCGGCCTCGTCAAACAAGCTGTTGCCGATCTTGACATTCTCGAGTGTCTTCTTGAATGTAAACGCCATACCACCGCAGATGATCAAGCTGTCCACTTTCGAAAGCAGATTATCAATCAGCTGGATCTTATCCGAGACCTTAGCACCACCAAGTATGGCTAGGAAAGGTCGTTTGGGCTTCTCGAGCGCTTGGGCGAAATAGTCCAATTCCTTCTTCATCAAAAATCCCGAGGCTTTCTGCGGCAGCTTTACCCCAATCATAGAGCTGTGACCGCGGTGTGCTGTACCGAATGCGTCATTGATGTAGACATCACCCAGCGCCGTCAGTCCCTTGCGGAATTTGTCCACATCTCCCTTATCCGCCTTGACCTTCTTTCCTTCGCTATCCTTACTACTCCCTTCCTCCTCCGCATGGAATCGCAGATTCTCCAACAATATCACCTCCCCATCACTAGCTTTATCCACTGTCTCCTCGACTTCCTTTCCCACACAGTCCTCGGTGAAGATAACTTTCTTCCCGAGCAACTTCTCGAGCTCCGGAACGACAGGTTTCAGCGAGTACTTCGGATTGGGGTGACCGTCTGGGCGGCCGAGGTGGGACATGAGGATGATGGCCTTGGCGCCATGGTCGCCAGCGTATTTGATGGTGGGAAGGGCGCCGACGATGCGCTGGTTGTTGGTGATGTTCTTTTCGGAGTCGAGCGGGACGTTGAAGTCGACCTGGAAGATAGTGTTAGCTGGGTCTAATTACGCAGGAGAAGTGAGAGATTGAGGAAACGCGGATCGGGAGCAGTCGCAGTCGAATTTACATACCCTTATGAGGACTCTCTTACCCTTGAGGTCGACGTCGGTGATAGCGAGCTTGTTGGAAAGAGACATGGTGTACAGTGGTTGAATTGATGGGTAATTAAGGAGTCCGACTTGCCAGGTAATGGAAGAATGGCAGCTTAAAGTACTTTTCAAGAAGAAAATACCTATGCAAGGCGGAGTGTCGCTGTGATGTCAATGCGGTGAATTCCGAATCTTGGTGGGGGGCCGATCGAGTAGGTTGTTTTTGTTTGGCGGGGTTGTCACGTTCCACCACAAATGCCATAGCTAATTCACCTTTTGCATATCGATCTGTCTTTTGTTTTCTAGTCTGTACCGATCTTATCACTTTACGTGCAGAGACTTTGCAGAGACTTATCTCAGAATGCCTCCATCACCTTTCGCTTATCGACATTTCCATCGTTGGACCTGAATTCGATCGGAAACCTCGAGGACAGAGATGGTCAAGTTCCACAACAACCATCACCTTCATCATAGATATCGTCAGGCATATGTCATATGCATCAATACCTCACCATTATCTAGTTCATGAGAAATCCCCATCGTCGTCCTTTGATTGCTTGCCCCAAGCATCGAGCTTTGCATCCTTGGACTCAAGCAAGTCCTTCAGCACGGCAATCTGCTCCAATACCGACGCCTTGCTTGTTCCCCCTTTCGCAGATCTCATTTCAACGCTCCTTTCATAATTGAAGCAATTTTTCACATCGTCATCAAACCTATCGTCGACGCTCTGTATTTGTTGGACAGACAATTTATCCATCGGTACGCCCTCGCTTTCTGCCAGCGCGACAATGCGGCCAGAGATATGATGCGTTTCTCGGAATGGAACTCCCTTCCGGACGAGAAACTCGGCAAGTTCGATGGCAAGCTGTGCCCTCGATCAGCAGATTCTCATGACCCAGCAGGAATGAGAAGGGTCAACCCACCATATCCGGCGACAGCGCATCCCACATCTTCTCCTTCTGCAATTTCATCGTACTGACCACCCCGGTCAAAATCTGCACACTCATCCCCACCGTCTTCACACAATCAATCATCGGCTCCACACTCTCCTGCAAATCCTTATTGTATGTACTCGGCGTACTCTTTATACTCATCTGCAGCCCGCACGCCTGGCCGAATACCCTCCCACTCTTGCCCCTCAACAGCTCCAGAGAATCCGGATTGTGTTTTTGCGGCATCAGGCTCGAACCCGTTGAGTATGCATCACTCAGCTTCACATACCCAAATTCGGCGGTCGAGTGGATGATCAGGTCCTCCGCTAGCCTGCTCACATGAGACATTAGGAACGAAGACCATTGTATAGATTCGAGTGCAAAGTCCCGATCAGCGACCGCAGCCATGGAATTCCACATCAGTCCTTCGAACCCAAGCTCCTTAGCCATAGCCTCCCTATCGATACCAAACGGATTTCCACTCAGCGCTCCACAGCCCAACGGACTCCTGTTGACCCTCTTAATCGTCTCCCGCAACCGCTGCAGGTCTGCGGCGAAGGCCATGCCATAGCTGAGCAGCCAATGACTCCATCGGACCGGTTGTGCGCGTTGAAGATGGGTATAACCTGGCATCAGAAGCTCAATCTCCATCTCCGCTCGACTAGTCATCACGCGCAGCAGATCGACTAGATATTGATCAATCTTCCTCAACTCATCCCTCAACCACAACCTCATATCTGTCGCAATCTGCTCATTGCGACTTCGGCCTGTATGCAGTTTCCCTCCAACTTCATTGCCAATGATCTCACACAATCTTCTTTCATTGGCGGTATGTATATCCTCGTCCGCCTCCCTAACCTCGAAACTGTTATCTTCCCACTCTTTCTTCACTTTCTCAAACCCCTCTTCTATCTTTTCAAATTCGCTGCTCGTCAATATCCCCCGGTTCTTATTGGCGCGGGCAAACGCAATCGAGCCGGCTATATCTTGGGCATAGAGGATGCGGTCGTAGGGAAGGGAGGCATTGAATGTGTTCTGGTAATCGCAGCGGTGAGATTAGCGGAGGTGTCTCCGAAAACATGGCACAGGAAGTATATACCATAAGAGGATCCATCCCACCTGAATCCCTCATCAGCAAGTTGCCCCTACAGAAAATCCATACCACCTAGAGTAGATAGGTAGACGAACCAGTAAACCTCCCACCCCACAGCATATTCTTCCCCGGCGTCTTCTCCTGCGCTTGCTCCTGAGACTGAGCCATTGCTCCCTTACAACTGATTGTCTTTCCAGTCACGGAAGAACACCAAATCGATCAATGCGCACAGAATTGGTAGCATAGATAGATGTGAATGTTTGTAAACGTCAGTCCGCTAAGTTTGATTTTTTTGGGTGGGGGGGGGGATGGAGAAAATGGAATGCGACTTGCAGAACCCCACCAAAAAAAAAATTCCATGGAAGATTCCTATCAGGAGCGGAAATGCTTCCGCTCGAAATCTCTCCGTTGCAGACGAGGGAGAGCATGGGGAGGAGAGAGAATGGTTGATCCTAAGATTTCTTCATTGCTGTGGTAAAATATGGCTAGAGTATGTAAAGATGTTATGAACCAGATTGGAGGAACCGAAACATCGCCCACGAGCTCTGCGGAAGAGGGGTATATGTGAAAGAAAAACGACCGCTCTGGCATCGTCTCGAGCGAAGAAAACGAGTGTGCCACCCCCTTAGTGACTGATGGGCCACGGATCGCATGCAAGTAATACCCAATGCTCGCTCTCCTCCGCGCTCGCCATGCCCGTGAGTCTCGGAGAAAAGGAAAGAAAAAAAAAGTTTGCATGCATCCCTTCCGGAAGGATCCAACGCCAACACCATTCGCACCTTTGCACTCAGAACCCTCCGGTGACCTTTTGAAACCAACTGGATCGTTTTCCCTGCCCGGTCTTCCCGTCAAACGTCTTCGTCCCCGCCCCCAGCTTCACGCCTCCGAGATCACTCTGTCTCCTATCCATGCTCCCCAACCCTCCATACCTCTCCTCCGCCGCACTGCCCTCACTGCTCCGAACCTCCTTCTCCTTCCTTCGCCTCCTGCGCTCTTCTTGTTCATCAGCGAGGGGGTCGGTGTACATACGGCTACCCCTCTTTGGCTTCTTATGGCTCGCGCGTCTGGCATATTCGTCTTCCACCAGGTCGTCGGCGCCTTTGGCTCTGAAGTCGGGGGCTTGTTCCATGATTGTCGGCTCGACTGGCGGGGGCTCGGGCGGTTCGGAGACTTGGGATTTGACCCAAGAGGTGGTATGGTCGTTGCCACCGTAGGGGTCATTGTCATTGATAGGGCGGCCGTTGCGGGGGTCAAAGTAGTCGTCTACTGGAGCAATTGTGGATTTTCGGCGCGAGGATTTGGGGCGTTCGGTGGCTTTATCCATGTGGGAGCGACGACGGTCAGATGTGCGAGGTCGAGATGAGGATGCCGCTGGGACCTCTTTCTCTGTATCACGGCGCTTAGACCGGGGTTTGAGGATGTCATCCTCGAGCGCTCTGTTTGCCTCTTCTTCTCTGCGGCGAGCTTCTCGTGCAGCTCGGCGGTCCTCTTTTTCTTCGAGGCGACGGGCTTCGGCTTCCTCCTCCTTGCGAGCTCGCTTGCCGCGCTCATCCTTAAGCTTGGCTTTGTCTGCTTCACCACGCTTAGCTCGTCGATCAGCTTCGTATTTCAAAGCTTCTTCACGTGGCTCTTTGGCAATACGATCATCTTCTGCACGTTTAGTCCGTCTCTTCTCTCTCCGTGCGTCCGCATCTTCCGCTTCGGTAGTTCCTCCAACATCTCTAGCGGTGTCATAGACATAGCCGTCAGCTGCACGATCTGTCTTCTCAGTTTTCCTGCGGTCGTCACGGCGAGGACGCTTAGCAGAGTCATCTCCGCCAGTGACGGTACGCTTGCGAGGTGCTACCTCCTCATCCTCCACGATGGCTCTGCTTTTTGAAAATTCGTTGACCTCAGATGCACGACGACTCTTACGGAAAGCGCCGAACAGCCCGCCCCCTATTCCACCGGACTTGCTATCAGGTTTCTTTGAGCTTGTGGCCGAGCGCTGGAGTCCTCTAGGCTTGGTAATGAACTGCATATCGTCGGGGCCAGGCTCTACGTTTGCGTCACCCGAAGAGCCTGCGTCAACCATGACAACATCATCGTCGATGTCGTTCCCAATCTTGGACTTTCTCTTAGAGCTACTTGGTTCCATTTTGGAGTCTCGCTTAGATTTGGTCCTGTCAGGCAAATCCCTTTTCAGAGATGAACTTGGCTCGGCATCCATTCCTTTGGACTTGCTCTTCGAACCTTTGTCTTTAGTGGCGGAGAACTTTTTGCCATTGACAAGGGGATCGTCCACATCATTCACCATCACCATGTCATCTGAGTCGATGGCATAAGGATCTGGAACAGCTACATTGCTACCGTCAGCTTTCTCCAAGGACTTTTCGAACATTGCTGGAAGCTTCTCACCAGACGCCTTCTGTTTGCCTCGAGTCGAGGCTTTCCTATCCAGCTTGGCAGTGCCCATCATCTTCGCGGCTTTTGAAGTCATTTCCGGCGCTTCTTCAGCTGGCGGAGACGGAAGACCGGTGGCATCGACATCCATGGACTGCCTCCTAGAAGCAGCACTCTTGGGAACTGAAGGCGCGGTACTATTCTTTCGAACCGACTTGGTCCGTGTTGGAGGTCCGCCGCCAAATAGCGCACCAAAGCTTGAGCCCCGCGACTTGGGTGGACGAGACTCTGTCTTCTTTGGTTTGTCGGAGTCAGACGACTTAGCTTCAGACTTGACTGTCTCCTTGTCTTTCTCCTTGGCTGTCCGGGTGGACTTTGATCTACTAAAGCCAGGAGCAGCAGCTTTCTCTTTTTTAAGCGGCGATGAGACATCAGCATCGTCCTTTGCTTTAGTCTCCTTCTTCTTTGCTGGAGCTGCACCCCAGAGACTCCAAGAAGAGGCACCTCCCTCTTTGGCTATGCGAGGGCGCTCTTTCTTAGCAGGCTTCTCCTCTTTGGGCTCAGGTGGCGGTGTCGGTGGTCGTTTCGACTCGGGCGTGTCGCGAGCCTTTGAGGTAATTTTCGACTCTTTAGTAGATTTGGCGCCCTTCTTGCTGTCTTTCTTCTCGAGCAGGGGTTCATCATCGAGGAGCTCATCGAGCTCATCGAGATTGTTGAAGTCGTCATCCATGCCTTCACCTGGGAAACTGCCTGGAACAGTTTCCTCTGAAGATTTCTTCTTGGTTTTGGATTCAGGGTTCGAATCCTTGGTCTTTGATGCGGCGACTTTACTTGATGCTAAGTCTTTGCTTTTACTTGATGCGCCAGCTTTCTTGTCGAATTTTGAAGTTGGTTCGGGATCTAGGTCAGGTGGCGCAGAATCTGAAGCCTTATTCTTCTCCTTCTCAATCTCCTTGACTCTCTGTAAGACGGATGAAGGTTTTGTTGATTTCGAAGTGGACATTGCTGACTTGAAAGGTTTCGAAGGTTGCAATAACGTCGAAGGTTGGTCATCTTTATGAGTAAATTCTGGCTCATTCGAGATTCCCTTCTTTCCCGTTGACTTCTGATTGGTCAGATCCTTAGCGCCAATTTCCTTTTTCCCTAAGACCTCATCTGCTTTCCAATTCTTGCCAGTTGTCTTCTTGGACGAAGGTGTCCATACCGGTAGACTGAAAGCATCATCAACCTTTTCCTTTTCCTCTTCTTTTTTCTCATCATCCTTGTCTTCTGTACCAAGCCCCTTGGATTTGCCATTTTTGCCTTTACTTGTCACCGCCTCTGTAACGTCATCCCTGACACCACCTTTCTTCTTCGCCACGCTGCCGCCTTTGCTAGCCTTGTCGCTATCTTTAGTGCTCGTCTTCCAAAGATTTCCATCCTTTGCCGGCTTTTTGCTCGGGGGCTCTTCGTCCAACATCTCTAGAATCTCATCGTCGTCGTCGTCCACCTCCTCCGTCCCCTCCTCCTCTCCCTCTTCCTCAGCTTCCTTTGCCGCCTTATCCTTGTCTTTGGAGCTCGCTTTAGACTTGGAGGCAGACGTTGTTCCCATACCGCCCCAGTAACTCTTGGCTGCTTTTGCAGGTGTATCCTCTCTCCAGGCGTCCTTCTTCTTCAGGTCATCCTTCGCCGACTTCTTGGACGTGTCATCTACCACTTCCTCGATCTTGTCCTTTGTGCCCTTCTTGCCGGCCTTCAAATCCTCTTTGGGATCCTTTTTGCCATCTTTCTTCCCCTTTGTAGTAGCCTTGGCAGGCGGAAAGTCACCCCAATTATCATCCAGCAAATCCCCTTCTTTTTCCTCAGGCTCCGGAGTCAAGCCTTGCGCGGGCGGAGTGGGTGCCGGCGGTGGCGCTCCCCAGGACATCTCCTTGCTACCTTTCTTCTTGTTCTCCTTGGACGCTCCAGCTCCCCAGCTTGAACCCCAAGTTGAACCCCAGGTATCCTCCTCTACAACCGGTATAATATCAGGGATCGAGTCTGCAAGCAAGTCCTTGGTCTTTGAGGTCTCGGGCGACGTAGTAGTCTTGCCCTTCTTCCCGATCTTTCCCTTGACCTTGTCCTTGTCCTTCCTTGCCTTCTCCTCCCTTTCCTTTTCGTCTGCCTCTTCCTTTTCCTTCCTCTCCTTCTCTTCGGCCTCTTCCTCTTCCCTGGCTTCTCTTGTCTCTCTGTCCTTTTTCTCCTTCTCCTTCTCCTTCTCCTTCTCTTTTTCCTTCTTTTTCCTATCCTTAGCGGAAAGACCAGCCCAACTGGCTAAACCGTCCTTCACTGTATCCTCCGTTTCCTCGGGTTCCGGCACAGAAATAAGCTCAGGCTCGGTGACCTTGCCTTTTTTGCCTTTCTTGTCCTTTTCCTTTTTAGCAGTATCCCATGTATCAAACGAAGAAGGATCTGGAACGTCAGGCACAGGAGGCGGTGGCGATGGTGCTTCATCCATCTTGGAGCCAGTGCTAGCAAGTGAATTCCGTTTGCTTTTATTGTCCTTCCTCTTGGCAGTGCCGGAGCCACTCGCCCAGTCATCGTCAGCCGCGACACTGGCGTCGTCCGTAGCGAATCTGGACTCAATGGCTGGCATAGGATCTCCCTTGACTTCCGGCACGAGGCCTTTTTTGCCCTTCTTGCCCTTCGTGGATCCTGTGCGTGATAAACTTGGCTTTTCCTCAACTACTGGCTCTGGCCCTATAGGTTTGATCTCTTCCATGACATCTTTCTTACCCTTCTTTTTGTCGTTCTTGGGACCGAAGTTGCCCCATCCAGTGTCAATTTCAGGCTCAGGTGATTCCTCATCGATCTGGTTCTCCTCCCTTTCAGGCTCACCCCAGATGTTGGGTTTCTTGGCTTTCTTCTTGTCCTTTTCCTTCTTGGTGCCGAAAGAATCCCAGTCATCAATAGGCTCCGGGTCCGGCTCCTTCGCGGATGATTCTTCCGTCTTGTCAGCATCCTTCTTGCCCTTCTTCTTGGCCTCCTTCTTGGCAAACGAGCCCCAACCAATGTCTGCCTCGGGTTCTAGCTCTGGGACAACAGTAACTGCTGGTGCTTCTGTTTTATCTTCTTTCTTGCCCTTCCTACCCTTTCTGTCCTCTTTCTTCGCGAATGAGCCAAAACCAAAGCTCAAATCTGGCTCAGCATCTGGGAATGCAGTGATTGTTGGCTCTTCCAGTTTCTCGGGCTCCTTCTTGGTTTTCTTGCCCTTGTTGTCATCCTTATTGTCCCACGCGCCAAAGCCAAATTCTGAATTTGGTTTCGGTTCTTTCAAAGCCGTGGTCGTTGGCTCTTCGAATTTCTCAGGCTCTTTCTTGCCCTTCTTACCCTTTCTCTCATCTTGCTTGCCAAACGAACCAAAGCCAACGTCCAGATCTGGCTCAGGGTCTGGCACTGCGGCAATCGTTTGCGCCTCGATCTTCTCTGGCTCTTTCTTGCCGCCCTTTTTCTTATCGTTCTTAACGAATGAGCTCCAGCCAGCATCGGCTTCTGGTTTTGGCTCGGGTGCTATGGTGGTGACTGGGTCTTCGACCTTCTCAGGCTCTCTCTTGCCCTTCTTTTTCTCTTTTTTGCCAAATGTACCCCAGCCAGAGTCACCTTCGGGTTCCGGTTCAGGGACAACCGCGACAGCTGGTTCGTCAACCTCCGTAATCTTTTTGCCCTTCTTTCCACTCTTCTTGGTGCCTAATCCGCCCCATTCATCAGCAGCAGGCTCTACAGGTGTACGCACAGCAGCGGCTGGAGGGGGTGGCAGAGGCGTCTCTTCTTCGCCTTTCTTGCCTCTCTTCTTCTTGGTAGATGGATTTCCCCATGCATTCCATGATTTCTCCGCAACAGGTTCAGGGTCCGCAATTGCCGTACCAATGGTGTTTGGGTCCGGGTCGTTGGAAACATCGTCGAAGGTGCCCTTCTTCTTGGAATTCTTATCCTTCTTACCAGCGACCGTGAAGGTTCCCCAATCGTCGTTGCCTCCCGCTTTATCTTCCTCTGCTTTTTCGCCCTCATTCTCTTCCTCGAGTGCACCGAAGTTCCCAAAGTCAAATCCGCTGGTAGTAGTCTTCTTCTGGTTTTTCTTGTTCCCACTAAATGACCAAGAGTTGCTGTCTGTCGTAATGTTTGTGGATTCCTTCGTAGTCCTAGAGAACGAGTCTGCAATATCTGTAGTCTCGGTATCAGCTCGACTGGAATTCCAATTGCTGCCGGTATTCCAGGTACTGCCACCTCCCCCCCAACCACCGAATGAGCCGAACCCGCCACTGTCCCTTGTTTCCGTCGGACCAAAGCTGAGGTCGATCTTTGGCACACTGTCGTCTAGCTTGATGTCGGCAAAATCACTTGTGCCATTGGCTGACGGCTCAATCTAGGGCACGTAAGCTATTGCATACATACTCATGGCCCGATTCTAGCTTACCTTTCCGTTCTTGTCTTTCTTGCCCTTCTTGGTCGCCGTAGCCGTAAAGCCTCCCCAGTCATCGCCCACGTCCCCATTTGTATCATCGGCCCAGTCCAGTTTACCATCCCCGTTAGCCCCCTCTTCCTCTTTCCATTTCTTTTCCTCTTCTTCCTCCTCCTTCTTTTTCTCTTCCTCTTTAGCTTTCTTGCCCTTCTTTTTCTTCCCCGTATCCCAAGCACCCCAGTGGTCACCATCTCCGCCACCGTCTCCTGCGCCTCCATCTCCATTGTTGCCTCCACCAGCTCCTCCACCAGTTCCTCCACTGCCATTCTCCTCGCCTCCATCAGCGCCTTCAGCGTTTCCTTCCCCACCCTCGTCGTTCCATTTGGCTGTGTCCGCTTGCTTTTTTTGCTGTTTCTCCCTCTTCTTGCCGCCTGCTTGACGAAAATTGGACGTGTCACCAAAGTCGATATCGGGCGTCGCCATTTGATCCGGAGGTAAAATACTGCCAACGGATTTGTAGCAATAGGCCGGTGGGGGAACGGGATAGTAGCGAGCTGCTTTAGCTAGAGCTAGATCACCCGTGTAATCATAGCTTGGAGGTTCATCTGCTATTGTATCGTTGTATGAAGGTGGGGGCTCAAAGTGCGGGGAGTCTGTAGATCCTGCGCTGTCCGGTAATACAGCATCGATGCTATCGAGAATGGCTTTGATGCTTTCCAAATATTCCAGACACTGGACCTACTAGCAAGTCAGAGGTCTTGCGCACTCCCACAGTAAATCCAGCCCATTGAAACCCCTCATTTCGCCGCAGTTCCGCTGGTGATACGAAAAACACGAAACAGTGTTGAAGAGGTTGAAAGCATGTCTGGTTTTCTTACCTGGCTCGAAAGTGGCGTAGTCTTCTCCAGTGCTAAGTCCCGTCCCATACATGAGCTTGCACACCGCCTCGCAGCCAAGAAACAACAGCCAGCGTTCATTTCATCATCCAAACCAATCTTCCGTCGCGGGATCCTTCGCTCGAGACATCCATTGTCGCGACCGGCTTCGCAATGCGATCTGACAGCTACTGCTGCCATTGTGAACTTTTGGGGCGCTGAGTCGTGAGATCCTAGACAGGGTCATTGAAGCAACGGAGAAAGCGATAAGACTAGCGATTGGAACAGAGAAAGTGGAAGCGATGTGCAACTGGCGTCTAGGAGATCAAATAGCCTCCCGATGATGCAAGAGACACTGTGTATGGAAGATAGAATTTTTCGTATGTTGATGCAGATAGCGATAGAGAAAGCAACGGAGAAGCGGTGGCAACAAACTGGTCACGAGTTTGATCTTCTACCCCCCTGTCGGTTGTGTATCGCCTTTATCCTCCGAACTTCTGCGACGGTGTCCAATTGATAGCTCACCGTAAGCTTAGGGCTTCATTTACAGCTTCATGATCGAACAAAGAATTGTGTCTTATATAAGGAAAAAATTGAAGTTATATTACTGTCATCGAAGCATCCTATCATATGCAGTGCGGACAAAATCTCTGACTACGAGCTATCATTGGTGCTGCTTCTCCGCTTCCTCGCAGCATCAGCAGAAGGCCTAAACGCAAATCATTTCTTTAGCATGCAACCTTTACACGTCCATTGGCTTTCATAGATATCGCCTCAAGCTTAGAAGAGTAAGATGATGCGCAAGGTTGCCATGATTGTAGACCTAACCTACTTCATGGTTTTTCTCGCGAGACATGTACATTTGATAATCGGTGTGTATCCTCCTCTAGTATGATACAAAGAGCCCGGCAGCTCTTCTCAGTATGCCCTCATAGTAATCCTTTCTTTTTGATGGCTAAATAGCCGTGATCTTTCAAACAATGTCGTTCCAACCCCCTTTCACGGATGCAAAACACCGGCCATGATCGTAGCCTCACAGGCAGTGGTTTCCTTTTGTCCCCAACACCTTGCAAAATACAGTTCAATCCATAGGCCAACATCTTCCTCCCGTCGTATCTCCGGTAGCACTATCCTTTCTGTTCTTGCTTCACAGCAACGCCATTAATTTGCCCGTTCATATGCGGTGGCTCTACCTTTATGGTAGGCTCTTGCTGAGCCGGTGCTGCGACTGCAGACGCCGAATTTGCGATGCGATCGTACATGTTTCTAATGTTGCTTCCTGGAGTTCCCGCATTGGGCCAGTAGTCCGCCACAAAGTCCCTAAGAAAAAGATTAGTTGAGCAAGACCACGCAACGACCCAGCGAAGGTGACTTACCAGAACGAAGCTTCGTCGTCCTCATTCGTTTCTGGATCCGAGACCAGATCGGCCACGTGGTTCCCAATCTTGACCAACTCCTCCCTCAAAATTCTCGCCCGGGCGTGCTTGTCTCGCACACCTTCCTTTGTAGCACCTTGCACCGCTAATAAGCTTGGCTTAACGGGACCGAAGAGTTTCCACAAAAGCCTATTGACTTTCGGTGCAATGGCATTCTCATTGCTTTGACGGTGGTTATGCGGTGAGTGGTGGCGACGCTCTTCATGTTTCCGGTCACCGCTTGGCCTAGGTCGAATGTCGCTTCTGGGGGTATGACCGTTCTGCTCTCCGTTAGAAATGCGCCGCTCGGTGCTGTTGCGGTTGCGATGCTTCTCTGACTCGCGGTGGCCTCTTCGAACAGACGATGGAGCAGGTGAAGCTGATACACTTGTCCGATTGTCTGCGATTCTAGCGTACATGCCGTTTTTCTTGTTGTTTCGGTGATGATTTTCGACCGCGCGTTTTGCAGCGAGATTGGTACCACCGCTCGTCTTCTCTTTGAGCACCGAAAGCAGGTAGTCGGCACGGCGTACAAGATGCACTGCGCCAGGCGACTTGACACTCTTCTCTTCGCCCTTGCTACGTTCCTCTTTCTTCTCGACACGATGCTCCTCCAGAAAGAATTTATCTCCCAGAGCCAAGTCAGCGTCGTCACGGATCTGAACCCATGCACCATAGCCATGGCGAACAATCCCAACACAAAGCATTCCGTCTTCTTTAGAGCCCCAGTCGCAGGTGTAGGTTGCTCCCTTAGATGCCTCTGGAATTCGAAAGTTCTTGGGATCCTGGGCTTTCTCAGTGACCTCCTTCAGCATGCGCATCTCGCCAGGACGTTCCACGATCGTCTCCGCATTGATACGCTTCACACCTTTGAAATCGAACAGCACGGCTTTTTTGTCCTTCTTGGTTAAGGTCTTGCCATGCTGACGTTCTAAAGCGTCGATGCGGTCCTGCTCTTCTTTCATAAGCTTGGACGCCACATCAATAATCTCCTGCAGAGACGCCTTCAAAAGACCGCGGTCTCTGGAGGTCAGTCGAGCCTCTTGGACTAGCTCGTCTCCTCGGTCATCGATAGAGCCGAATCGTAAATAGCCACGGATCAAGTTGCGTACTTCTTTCTCGCTTAGTGGTCGCTTCGGGTCTTGACCAGGTCGTTGATCGGAATCATCAGCACCTGCCTCTATTGCCGCAAGATCTCTGGCACGCTTCTTCGCAGCACGCTCTTCTCGCTCCTCATCAGCTTGCTTTCTCTTTCGTGGCGCGTTTTGCTCAATAACATCGGCAAGATAGCGATCATCTGCTGCCTTCTTCTCTTCTGCCTTGATCTCATCAAGCTGGTCTTTGGGTATGATCTGATCCCACTCAAGGTCAATCTTGACATCCAGATACTCGAAGCTCTTGAGAAACTCTTCGCCGCCGTCTGCCGCAATACCCTCAGGCTGTTCGGTCTGATGTTCTTCGGCGTTCTCTAACACGGATTCAATGTCGAGCTCTTCGAGTTTTTTCTGGTTGCCAGACTGTTGAAACATCTTCTCTCCACGGCGCTTAAGTATGCGGGAAATGTCTTCGGAAGAATTGGGCTCTGCTATAGCTTTGCCTACACGTGCCATCCTGTCAGTCAGCTCTTTTGCGTCCTTGTCCGTAACGCCACGTTGTATCGTAATAAACTCGAGCATGAGCTTGTTGCGTGCTCGCTCGAGGACTTCTTCTTCGACCGTCTCCTTTGAGACGAGCCTATATATGCTGACCGGCTTTGTCTGCCCGATACGGTGAGCACGAGCCATCGCTTGAAGATCGGCTTGAGGATTCCAATCGGAGTCGAACAAGATCACTGTGTCAGCAGTCATCAAATTGATCCCTAGACCTCCTGCTCTCGTTGAAAGCAAAAAGCAGAAATCGTTGCTGTCTGGAGCATTGAAATGGTCGATGGCCATTCGACGAGGTCCGGCAGCTATCGTACCGTCAAGACGCTGAAATTGGTAATTCCGGAGATGTAAATAGTCTCCTAAGATATCAAGCATTTTGACCATCTGACTGAATATGAGGACACGGTGATTGTCCTTCCTCAATTTGGCAAGCAGCTGATCGAGTAGCATCATCTTGCCGCTACTGGTGATTATACCCTTTAGTATATCTTCGCGTCGTGGGCTTCCGCCTAAGATTCGTTCTTCGGCACTGGGAAACATGAATGGATGGTTGCTGGCTTTCTTCAACTCCATCATGATGTTGAGTAAAGACTGCTTCTGACCCTTCGCACCCTCATTGAGTGCAGTGTAATTTCGAGTGAGAATGTTTTTGTAATAGTCCAATTGAACATCTGACAGCTCGACTCGGATGATCTTCTCGGTCTTTTGCGGGATATCATTCTCCACTTTGTTCTTGGTACGGCGCAGCATGTAGGGTTGGATCGCAGCAGTCATCTGACTGATCTTCTCGCTGGCCTCCTTCGATGAGAGGTCCATGTTCTCGTCGATGCGGATGACTCCAGGCATGAGGAAATCCATAAGAGCAGAAAGTTCTCCGAGGGTGTTCTGCATGGGCGTACCAGTAATCAGAAGACGACTGGGTGCCTTAAAATCGAGCAGTCTGGCGTACAGCTGAGACTCGCGATTCTTAAGTCGATGTGCTTCATCAACAGCCATAAATTGCCACTTGATTTGGGACAAAAACGCTGCATCCGCGAGGATGTATTCATAGGTGGTGAGGAGAACGTGGAATTTCGCCTTCCGAGGGTTCTCACTGACTAGAAGCTCGTGCTCCCGAATGGTTTTACGGGCAGCTTCGTTGCCGTTATAGACCACATAGTTGACGTCGGGGGTCCAATTGTCAAACGTTTCGGCCCATGAGGGCATTGTTGAAAGTGGTACAACCACTATGAAAGGCCCTTGCTGCTGTCTGTCATGCCGCAGCCAATTCATGAACGCCACCGTTTGCACGGTTTTTCCTAGGCCCATTTCGTCTGCGAGGATCACATTGTTTCCTCTGCACCAATTGAAAGCCAAGAAATTGAGGCCATGCATCTGGAACTCCCGGAGTGAGCCGTTCTTTATGTAGGCTGGTTGCTCCAATATGCGTTGAAACGTCCGCCTCGTAGTTGGATTCGACTCTGACTTATTTGATTGCGGTAATGAAGAGGTTCGATCGAGATAACGGTCGATCTCGTTCTGCGCGATATTGCTCACCAAGCTACCGTTCTCCCAGGTGCAAGAATCGTAGTAGAGTCCCTTCCCTATCTTATGTCAACTAGTGGTAACATTGCCATGATCGGACAACTTACACTTCACAAGATACTGTAAATCCCCGTTGTCGTTCTTGCCAATAACACGCTCAACTTTCGTGTAATCCTTGAGGGCATCGGCATCACGTTCACGATCGAGATTCCACTTCTCTCGCTCTTCGAGTGGGATGTCCTTTTCATGCTCCATGTGGATATCCTCCTGGACCACTTTGCGGAAGTAATTCTCAAGTCGTCGTATACCGCGACAAGAGGCCAAAGCAGCATTGGTCTCCCAGGTGGAATGGTAGTGAGCTTTGCCTTGCCATTTGATCTTTCGCAGGTCAGATTTGAGATCTCGAGAGAGGGTAGGACGATTGGGAACGGTGACGCTTACATAGTACTCAAAATCATCTCTTCCAGGGTCGGTGACTTCTTTACCTATAGGCAATTTAGTCTCTGATCCCAGCATTACTCTATAGGATCACTGACTAGTATCCTCACGTAGGCGATGGTTGAGCACCGCATCGATTGCAGGAACGTCCTCCTCCGGCCCAGCCGTCCAGTATTCCTGAGGGACCATGTCCGCTTCATCATCAAACATGTCGTCGTCATCTTCGTTGTAATTGGATACTTTGGCAGCTTTTCGTGTCGAGAAGCGTACTTCTCCGTGAGCAGGGGTTATGTCACGAGTGGGTTGGACTGATCGACGATGGTTCTTCTTGGCTGCAGCTCGACGAGATCCACCATAAGCATCAATGTCAGACTCACTATCAGATGGTGATTGTGCGGAAGGAGTGTTCTGCTTGGATGCTGCAAGATGATAGTAAGCAACTAATATGCCAAAGCCATTTTGACACCACGAGGATAGTGTAGTAGAGAACTTACCTCGAGCGGAGGAGAGTTGTTTTCGTCGTTTCCGTGGCGGGCCACTTCTGATGTCTGACTCAGAGTCATCGTCCTCAGAGTCGTCATCGACCTGACCGTATTGATTAGTAGACTGGTTAGTGGTGTGTGAAAGTAGGGGCACATACGATCTGCCGTGATGGACGAGGCCGGCCCTGAGTATATTGTTCAGCGCTATGATGGGGATTAAATAATCGTTGACTTACGCTTCGTCGCAGGCCGTAAAGCTCGGGATCGTTCAACATATAGTCCTCATGCTCCGGACCAGCTTTGCGTTTCCGTTGTCGAGGCGAATCTTGTGATGATGAACGATCACCACCATAAGATCCGGCATTGCCGGTAGGCGGTGTTGCCATATCGTAGTCAGGATCGTCAGAGCCGACAGCGTCCTCGTCTTGTGAGGATCCATCGTCTGAGCCCCTCATTTGGCCATTCTCTCTATTGTCGTTTTGCTCGCTATTCAGGAATGTAGTTGGGGCGTTGGGAATATCAAGGGCCTCGGAGAGGTCGCTCTCGCTCTCGGGGGTCAAAGCCCGATTGGTTGCAGGCTTGGTAGAAGGAGGGGAGAGGTGTCCATTGGAGTAGGGAAGATCCGTAGTAGTAGAGGATGTCTGCTGGTACATCACGGTGCTTGCTATAACACCAGTACATTAGCATTGCTCGGCGAGGAAAGGCCAGAGTACTTTAGCGCATTTCTGGCAGGTACCCAGACAGCAGGCGACCCAGGGAGCAGTCCAACATGCTCAGGAGACTTGACTGAGATGGAGTGAACATGAGATTCGATGAAAGAATAGCTCTTGGTGATGGAGTTGATGGAAAAGGAATCTGCGGGAGAGCAGACAGTTGTGGCACCAGGATGTGAATTTGGTGCATATATAGCGAGGCCTACATAGACAGCATGCTATACAAGAGGCTCCTCCAAGTAGAAATTGGATAGCTGAAGACATTGTATAGAGTTGATCGAATGTGGAGATGGGCATGTACAGCCGCAGGTCAAATTTGAGCGGTGGCCCAAGGAATCGTGTGCATTAACAGGGACAAGGGATGATGATGTACTTACAAGCCATGACTTCAGAGCCGCCTTGACGGGTCCAAAATGTGTGCGGAAGTGGTGGTTTGTTAAGGGTGTCATTAAATGGAGGATGGAGGTGTCAAGTATGCTTTCGTGAGGATTATCCGCGAGCTGCAGCATAAATGGTACTGTAAGGCTGAAAGGCCCCCAGTCGGCTAATAGGCTCCCCCACTAAGCCTCATGTGCAAGCGGGCTCTGTTTCTGTGTGAATGCCAATATCCGATTTGATTTTTTCACGCCTCTATGAATTGAGTAACTCTTGGGTGACAGTCTCTTGCTCCTCGTTACTCAGTCATTGAAGTCCGATACCCGAGTGGAACACAACCCCCAGGTTTACACGCTTGTTTCCATAATCTCTCAAATAAAGCTCTCATCCCTCCACAATGTCCGACAAGCTTACACGGTATGCCTTGACATCTTGGATTTCTGTTGTGGGACAATCCTATTAACTCTCGAATTCGGTCGTTAGTATTGCCATTGTCAGCAATGACAAGGTGAGTCATTAGACTCAAAGCTTCCTATTGTCTAGCAAATGCTAACGATATCCCCCCGCAGTGCAAGCCAAAAGTACTACAGTCAAACAGGACACTCGCGGTATGGATCGTCTTGCTAATCTACCTCTTAGAAATGCCGTCAAGAATGCAAAAAGTCCTGCCCAGTCGTACGGACCGGCAAGCTCTGTATCGAAGTTGCTCCCGAGTCAAAAATTGCTTTCATCTCGGAACGTCTATGCATAGGATGTGGTATCTGTGTCAAGAAGTGCCCCTTCAGCGCCATCAACATCATCAATCTGCCTACGAACCTTGAATCGCAAGTGACTCACCGCTACTCGGCGAATAGCTTCAAGCTACATCGGCTGCCTATGCCACGACCAGGGCAGGTTTTAGGCTTGGTGGGAACCAACGGAATTGGAAAGAGTACTGCGTTGAAGATCCTCAGTGGCAAGTTGAAGCCCAATCTGGGTCGATACGAAGATCCGCCAGACTGGGAAGAGATCTTAAAATACTTTCGAGGGTCTGAGCTTCAGAGTAGGTCCGCAGCTACGTAATCTTGAACGCATGCTAAACAAGACCCAGACTACTTTACCAAAGTACTGGAAGATGACCTTAAGGCTGTTGTTAAGCCTCAGTATGTCGATCAACTGCCGAAAGCTGTCAAAGGTCCCGACAGGACAGTAGAGGCTTTGTTGAAAGCACGTAACCAAATGGACAACATTCAGGAGATTATGGACGTTCTGGGTAGGCACATTCCCACAGTGGTAGCGGAGAAGGCTGACTTGGCTATAGAATTGAACCAAGTGAGCGATCGAGACATCAATCTCCTGTCTGGTGGAGAGCTTCAACGGTTCGCAATAGGAGTTGTTTGCGTCCAGCAAGCCGATGTGTATGACACGAGTCCTTCCAAAGATTCTCATAGGCTAAAGTATTCCTAGTTACATGTTCGATGAGCCATCCTCTTATCTCGATGTTAAACAGCGTCTTAGCGCCGCTAGGACCATTCGCAAGCTGCTACGTCCAGATGACTACGTGATTGTCGTGGAGCACGACCTGTCTGTTCTCGACTATCTCTCCGACTTTATCTGCGTTCTCTATGGCAAGCCTGCTGTTTACGGTGTCGTCACACTGCCTGCGTCGGTCAGAGAAGGGATCAATATCTTCCTGGACGGCAACATTCCTACTGAGAATTTACGTTTCCGCGAGGAGGCTCTCACCTTCCGTATTGCCGAAGTTGGAGACGAGTATCTGGCCGACAAAGCCATGAGCTATAGCTACCCATCTATGGAAAAGACCCTCGGCGGTTTCCACCTAAGCATCGACGCCGGCAAGTTCACCGACTCGGAGATCATAGTCATGATGGGAGAAAACGGCACAGGAAAAACGACCTTCTGCAGAATGCTCGCCGGCGCCGAGAAGCCTGACGGTAGAAATTCCGTACCACCAATGAACATATCTATGAAGCCACAAAAGATCACCCCCAAGTTCACAGGCACAGTCCGCCAGCTCTTTTTTAAGAAGATCAAAGCCTCTTTCTTAAACCCTCAATTTCAGACAGACGTCTACAAACCCCTCAAACTCGACGATTTCATCGACCAAGAAGTACAAAACCTCTCTGGGGGTGAGTTGCAACGTGTCGCCATCGTACTTGCTCTCGGCATGCCAGCCGACATCTACCTCATCGACGAACCAAGCGCCTACCTCGACTCGGAACAGCGTATCATCGCTGCTCGCGTCATCAAGCGCTTCATCATGCACGCGAAGAAAACTGCTTTTGTTGTTGAGCACGATTTCATCATGGCAACCTACCTCGCGGACCGAGTCATCGTCTTCGACGGCCAACCTTCCGTCGACGCAAGAGCCAATACCCCAGAAAGCCTATTGACTGGCTGCAACAAGTTCCTAAAGAACCTAGACGTAACCTTCCGCCGAGACCCGAACAGCTTCCGGCCGCGAATCAACAAGTATAACAGCCAATTGGACCAGGAGCAGAAGCTGAGCGGCAAGTTCTTCTTCCTGGAAAACGAGAGTTGAAAAGGGCGTCCCTAAGAGCCCACAAGAATATGATGACACCCCTCCCAAGGCAGGTGTAAGTGTAAAGCCTTCAGGCGCTGGTGGAAGCGCCTGTAAGCACGGTGCAGGTCTAACGGATGAAGAAGCTTGTGCTGATGAGGATGATGATGATAAGGACGATTAGCGATGGCGGCGGCGGTTTGCCTCCTGTCAATGTTCCTGCGAGACAACACCGCATCTACGGCTGGTCATGTGTTGAAGGAGCTTTGATGGGTCAAGTTAGGGGACTGCCGTCTACATGGTGGATTTTTAACGAAAATGATACATGAGATTGAGACTCATGGTTTGGTGCACGCCTAGTGCTGACGACCAAGACAACTTGCCCATGTGGTGGTGGAAAGCTCCAGGGAAATAGGCAGATAAGGCGAAATGCACAAGAGGGCGCAATTATTACTGCTCGAACTCTGCCTGCTTGCGTGATATGCCTGGTCCTGTGTCTGAGCGCTCGCCAGTAGTGTAGTAATAAAACAAGTGATAAATGATCCCCAACCAATCTAATCTCCCTCTCCGAATTACTCCTCCTCAACCATCTCCCCCTCCTCACTCCCCGAATGCACCGCGGGTTCCTCCTTCACTGGCACTATAGGCTCCGGCGTCTTCTCCCTCCTCGTACTTCTTCTCCCTTCCTCCCTCTTCACCCGCTTCCTCGCACTCTCTCCACTCGCCTCGCTATCCCTCCTCCTCCTACCACCCGCACCGCTAACACCGGCCCCGTAATCTAATTCGTCCCTGCTGCCCCTGGGGTCACCTCGCGTACGGTAAAGTCGCTCACGCTCTTCTTCTCTATCCCGTCGTTCGCGGTCGTAATGGCTTATACGCGGAGGACGACTAGAAACGCTTTCGCGCTCTCGGGAACGGGGTGGAGGGGAAAGCCCTGTGGGGCCATGTTTCTGGTATTGTCGCTCGCGGTCAGCCGTCGCTTTACGACGCTCGGCTTCGTAAGCGTCAACTTCAGGGGTCCGGCTGCCACGGCGGCGGTCATGTCTATCTATCAAAGGGCCATGACGATGCGAAGAGATATGGCCATTGCGAAGATCCCGGTCACGATGATCCCGAGTACGTGAGCGGTCATGTTTGTGGCTACGGCGCTCATTTTCGAGATCGTCTTCTTTCTCTTTGAGACGGCGGAGGACTTTGTCGAAGGCTTGACGGCGGAGGTCGTCAGTTTCTAGAGCTTTAAACTCATCAAAGTGGGAAATGTGGGGGCGAATGGAGTCCCAGTTTGTGCTAGAGGTGATTACGGGTTTGTCGAGGTGTTTGATTCTGGATCGAAGGGCATCGATGAGGCGGCGCTGTTGCCGCTCGGAGGCATGTTTGTCGTCTTCGGTGCGTCGTAAGACCTTTTCGAGGAGACGATTGAAGATGAGATTGAGAGTATCCGGAGAAATGGTAGTAGTACGGCGGTCTGTAGACATAACATCCAGGAAGTCTTGGGAAGTGGTTTTAGGAGTGATTTCGTAACGCTTGTCTTCGAGGACATCGTAGACATCGTTTCGTATTGAGCGGAGGGCTCGCTCTTCTTCTTCGACCATGTCCCAGAAGAGATCTAGGGGGGTTGATCCGGGTTGACCCAGCATAGCTACATACCTAGGATCCTCATGGACTTGTGGGAGGATTTCCATCCATTTCGTCCCTGCCTTGATCTTCCCGGCTGCCTTGAGCTCTAGAAGCAGATCCAGATAACGGTCTCTGTTCTGACGCTCCCTTCTCTGTTTCGAGTTCTTCTCACGCTGGCGCTCGTCGTTGAAGGTACGTTCAAGAGCCTTGATGTGGTTCTCGAAAGCTGTCAAAATGTCCGACTTGCTAAGGGTCTTGAACTTAACGTCAGCTTGGAATGTCTCATTGGACTCAATGACCTCCTGCGCTTCAGACCATCTTGTGTACGGCTCCAAATTGAGTGCCTTTAGCAACCCTACAAGCTCGTCCATGGCAGATTTCCGCGTAATAGCCTCCCGTTCGATGTTACCCTTCTTGAGCTCGATTATGTATTCCTCAAAAAGCTGCCGTCGCTCAGTATCATCGTTTGTGGACCTGAAGATTGTCTCACCCTCAATGATTGGACGCGCCGTCTTCCATCGAGTGTAGTGCTTGATCTCTGGATGACTCCGCAGCATAGTCCCGAAGTCTGCGCGCAGCTTGGCCAACCTCTCTTTCGCACGATCTTTCTCCTGCATTCGGACTTCGACTGCGTATTTCTCGAACGCCGCCTTGCGGTCTTTGGGATCCTTTAGGGCACGATATTGGGGGTCTTTGATGGTTGCTCGCATAGTCTGCTCCCACGTCCAGTCTGGCTGTACATTTGCTCTTCGAAGGAGTTTTATAAATGCGGCTTCAGCTTCCTCAAACGTCGAATACTCTGGTTCATTTTGTGCTGCCAAAGTTGGCCCCTTTGAACCATTGAGATCTGTTTGTCCGTAGCCTATCTGTCTATCCGGCCCAGCGCGCTCACCGTAATCGTCTCTATCGCGCTGCTGAGGATACGAAGAAAAGGAAGATGTACCACCAGCGACGAACTGAGGAGCTCTGTGTGACGTTAGCCTGGCCCATCACTGTTGTGAAGGCCTACTTACGGCATTGACAGTTTCGGAGTAGGAGCGGTCTGGGCGAGAGCATCTTTGTATACTTCTGGAATCTCCCATGAGCTCTGCTTCGATTCGGTATTGTACCAATATTTCCTTCCCCCTTCCGCAGTGTATTCTTTCCATGGCTGATTTGCTAGAGCTCGCTATACGATGTCAGCTTCAAGCGCGAAAGGAGGAGAGAACCCTCTGGCAAAAGAAATCCCTCCGGCTCACCTCAGCTGGGGTCATCAGATCTGCCGGCTTCGTCCATTGCGTCGCCTTGGTCACGGTGTTGTAATAGTAGACACGACCTTCAGCATTGCGGGCTTCGGACCACAGGCCAGGAGGAGCCGCAATACCGTTGATGCCATTCATGTTCGACACTTTACAGGTCCTGCCCTCCGGGTCAAAAGGACTCGGCAATACTAAGTGGTGAATATTGATGTTGATAGGAGGTACAAGAGCCGTTGAAGTCGGAAGTCAATTTCTTCCTGTCCGAATGAGGCTCTGCGGGACTTGCCGGCAAGCATGTCGATTTCACTCTGGAGGTAGACCAATACTATGACAACAATGAATGTTGTGAGATCCATTTGAGTAGAGAGCCTGATCTGTCCGTGCCCAATGGATGCGTGATATCAAGTCATGTCAGGGCAGGTCAAAGACTTCATTGCAAGCTCCAAATTTGACGTCCTAGTACCTCAAGCTACTGAGCTCGATTTCGAAGAGCTTTTTGTAAATGACGAAGGCCGAGATGGAGCCATCTCAATATCGTCCATAGAGCGGAGGTCTTTTCTGTACTTTGGTGGGTGCCCTCCGGCATTCTCTTAAGCTCCATCGTCTTACTCATTACCAGGTACGTGATAGATGAATCGCTACGGATTTACATTATCCTCCGAACACCATATCAGGATGAGGCAACACTCAAATCCTATTTAACCCGGCTGGCTGTAAATTTGGACATACAAGCACGAGGCTCCCCATTGAGATCCCCTGGTGGTCATGATGCACCAAGAGAGACCTCCCCGTCGAGGACCGAAGACACCCTATGGTCCGGCAGCATTGATACTTCGGAAGACCCTTTCATTGTCGTACAGGAAGAGGAAGATCACGATCCCACTCGTACTATACTTGCAATATGGACAACAAGAGCTTTATTAAGTGGGTAACAGAGACCGCTCGAGACCCAAGTATACGGTTCTAATGTTTTCTCAGGTCGGCCTAGAATACGGCTCCACTCCCCAACGGTCTTTTTCCGGCTTTCAGCGACCCTAAGGCTTGACAAGGAGGGTGTTAGTGAAAACTTCAAGGATCCGTTACTCCCAAGCGGCGTTCCGGGCTCGGTCAATCTACTAGAATCTTTGAAAGGTGATCCAGCACTGAATGGAGTAGTACCGAGGCTCGCAGCATCTAGGTTATATGGTATCAGTCCTAGGACTCACGAGGGATACATCAACGATGGAAGTCTGAGAGTGGGTACACAGATGGCCTTTCGAGGTCTTCCTGCGATCTCAAGCCGAGTGCGGTATTCGAAATCCAACGGTACAGCTGGAAGACCTTCTATTACTGCGTCTCTTGACGTTGAAACGGGAGCGTTCTCGAATGACGACATAGCCATTACTCATGTCAATATGCAATTGTCTGAAGGCTCTGCAGAGGATATGGGGAAAGCCCTTGCTCCTCTATTGCCCCTCGCATGTAGACCAAAGGACAATCCGACTTTCTTGTTCCGCCTTACGCCGAGTGAGCCAGCCCCAGATGCTTCCAATCAAAGCTCAGCAAAGACGGTGCTCATCACAGTCCACGCTACAGTGCTCGTTTCTGAGACATGTCGACCTAGCATTGAAATGCGGTGGAAGACGGGGATAGATTTCTCAACTGCTTTGAATCCTCTTTACGGTGCTCCAGGTCAGTCGATGCAAAGACAAAACAGACCAAGCAGCCTTCAGAGGACGTCTTTCACAGCGGATGGAAACGGTTTCCTTGCATCCGCTCGGGAAGGTGGGGCGTCGTCTGAATCCGGGTCAAATGAACAGCGGCAGCGCGCGGGTTCTGTTACTGACTTTGGCGTATCAATAGCTTTCACAGCCCCAAAAACTGTGCGCGTGGGAGAGCTCTTTTCTTGGGATGTCCTGGTCCTAAATCGCTCAAGCAAACTTCGCCAGCTGGTTTTAATGGTCATTCCGAGTCGGAGGAAGGGGCTTACTGGGACGCATTCATCGAAATCATCTTCTTCGTCTGTGAGGGGTCGCAAGGATGGTAACTTCGCTAATGCTGTAATTGATGAGAATTTATTATATGCTATGCAGAGGAATTCTGAACATGAGGCATCGCAGCTGATAAGTATGAGCACTGATGTTAGGGTTGGGTAAGTCGGAAGCAGTCTTTGAAAGCTTACAATCCTGACTTTTCACAGACCACTTAGTCCTGACTCTTGTCTTCATACGGAGCTCAAGTTTCTCCCACTAGCCCTTGGCCATCTTCAAATTGAAGCCGTCCGAGTCGTTGATGTGATATCGAACGACTTTATAGACGTTCGAGACCTGCCTGATGTCGTGGCGGAAGCGCAGGCTGACGATGCTCAATGATGAAGCGACTTCACCGTGGACTATCGTTCTAGCTTTGATAGGTCAATCATGATAATAGTGTAGACTCGATTAGTACTAAAGTGGGACAAACATTCTTCCATATAGCAGAGTATTCGCCATTGTACCCAAAAGCCCACGCGCCTCTGCCGGCGCTCGATGACGCTAGCGGGGATGGAGTGCTGCGGCAGAGTTGAGCGAGGCACAGGCCACAGTGACCCCATGTTTGCGACTTCCTTTACTCATCCAGCGAATGCTTCGTTATTCCTAATACGCGTCCGAGCTTCAACTGATATCTCACACACCTGCAACAGCTCGACGCTTGGACCGGATATACACCTGCAGCTCCGCCCGGTTGTTTGAAGCCTGAAATACTTCAATCCTCCCCACCACTCCGAACCGGAGCTTCATATTGCAATACTACATACCAAGATGATTGCATCATCGAGACGGAGAGTGCTTGACATTCTTAATAGCAGATACATCTACGGTCGAGTGGTGCGTTCCTTCCCTCGGCGTCATGACCTTTACGAAATCAACTTCAGACTGTGTGCAACATCTGCGTCGTTGAACCTCAGAACACTGTTAACATAGAACACTATTATTAGCCTCTACTGCACGCACTCATATTCATAATCGAGATGGTCATCGTCTCAAGGCTCATAGCCAAATTCAACTCCTACTACGCGGACAAGCCAGGTATTCCGGTCTCTGGCGGCAAGCCTTGCGAATAGTAGCAGCTGACAGTCATGGACAGTCCTTACCATCATGATCACAAATGCCGTATGTCTACACTTCGCCCTACTAGGCTCTATGTGAGGACGGGCACTCTTGGAAACTCATGCTGAAGTTCGGGTGTCATACAGGTCCTGGGAGGGATAGCAGACACAGTGGCTCAATCCCTCACAGCAGTTCGTGCAAAATCGCGGCGAAATCTCGCTCCAGGAAAGGATATATCAGATGGGATTGAAATGCCTGACTATGATGAGAAGAGTCCTTACGTTACCGACATCATACCACACAGGACTCTTGGGCCACCACAATTTGACTTCGAGAGATTGACAAGGTTCATGTCCTACGGTTTCATCATGTCGCCTGTGCAGTTCCAATGGTTCGCGTTCCTCTCAAGAGCGTTTCCAATCACGAAACAGAGTGCTACCATGCCAGCGCTGCAAAGGGTATGCTTTGACCAACTGATATTTGCGCCTATTGGTAGGTCATGGAACGGATCCGCAACGATAGTCCAGGTTTAATAAAAAAACAGGTCTAGCAGCCTTCTTCACGTTCATGACTGTCACCGAGGGTGGTGGCCGACGAGCCGTAACACGAAAATTCCAAGAGGTGTACCTTCCCTCACTGAAGGCGAATTTTTTGCTCTGGCCTGCAGTCCAGATCCTCAATTTCAGGGTCATTCCTTTGCAGTTTCAAATTGTAAGTCACTCCGTCTAGCCTGTTCATACATTTTACTGACATGGGGCACAGCCGTTTGTCTCTACCGTTGGCATCGCCTGGACCGCCTACCTATCCCTCACCAATTCCTCTGATGATGTCCCTATATCTTTTCCTAGTGATTGAGTCTCTCATTTGGCTTGGCAGGGATTCGAAAAAATTGGGACTTAGGTTGATACACTTATGCACGGAATTTATTGTTGTAAACATCGGCTGGCAGCCAGGGCTGTTTACTTTGGCGTTCGACACGTGAAGAATCGGGCATTGCAAAGGTGTTAACAGAAATATTGGTGTCTAAGAGAAGTGTTTGGATGCACGTGAAATACGATATGCATGACTTCAGTGTGTCGCGTATACTACTCATTTGTCAATTGAGTCAAATCTTATCATTCAGCCACATGCTCTGCGACTGATCAGAGGGGGCTCCAACATTTTGGTACTGGCTTCGTCAAGCTTTCTGAAGCTGAGAATCGCGAAATGCCCCTTGACATGAACAGCATCCGGATCATTGCTCTGGATGCTAGCCTCATTTGGCCGCGAATTTCTCAAGGGTCCATCCATACAACATAAATGAGATTATGAAAGGATTTATGATCGTATCCAAAGGCACCCTGCCCTCGTTGTGCCATGATAGTCAGGGCTGTGTCTCTTCAAACATGGAACATCATGGGGATTGAGATCATGAAGCTCACACAGTTTCCCGCTTTTGTCTCTCGTAGTTGTCGACTTTGATGGATATCTTTGTTGCACTATTGCAACCTTGCAGTGTGCCAATTTTGACCTCAACGCAATACAATACTCACACAGTTGCCACAGCTACGACTTATATCCTCCCTAGAGAACGGAAAAAGCAAATACTCAGGGCACAAAAGCAATCAGAAGGTCCCTAGATTCCGGGGTGACGTGCTACGCCTTCTTTACAAGAGTGAACACTGTCCTCACATCAGCATTCAAAGAGTCTCCTACTCTTCTCTCCCTCCCAATTTTGCGCCATTTTCCTAACTGGTCGCCCCAGATCCCTCACTCAGCCTCATTCGCCAATGTACATGCACCCAAGGTGGCAACCATCATTGACCACCCTTCTGCTCCCATCTTCGGCTGTTCGTCCTTTTGCTGTTTATCGGTCGATTATTCGCAGAATGGACCGCGCCGCCATGTCCCCAAGCTTTTATGCCCAGCAATTCGATCACAGCCTCGGCTCGCCTTTCTCACCCTTGCGAATCCGATATGCTGCCAAATTTTCGTATGATGCCCGGCTACGGCTGTGTCGTTGGAAGATCGTAAGGGGTTTTTTTTAACCTTTTTCGTAATTAATCGGATCTTGCAGGCTCAAGGACGCCATTTTCGTCCATACAGTCCCCTGATGCGAGGTCAGAATACCTGCACGAGGTCCTTCCGGATCGGCATTTTGATGTCGCCAAACTTATATGGGTCTTGGCGCAGCACCAGCATGTGGCTGACGAATCTTTGCCCGAACTGCGTATCTCCCTATCAGCATGGACCTCATGGAATAATCGAAAGTTCTCCAAATCCATAGCTAGTTACTCTAAATCCTATTGAATATTAGCATATTGAAACCAGTGTCTTCAGACAGGAAATCCCCTGTCACAAGATTTTAGAGATGCATGAGATGATCATCGCGGCACTACAATCTTTATTACATGTGGACTTGTTGAGCTGTGACGACTTGCGAGAAGAGAGTTCTTTCAGTGTTTGATAGGGACCCATAAGTTCTACCCAAAGCCAGTCTATGCGATACTCTGGTCTCTACACTCTGGACCAAATATCATGCTTCCTTCTCAGGTGCCACAACAGCGTCCCCGTCCTCCTCTTTTGGTACAATATCTGGCTCGACACTTTTCCACTCCATGAATATGGCATAAGAGAGGGGCACACAGGCGGCGGCCTTAGCAAGTTATACAGTGGGGGTGACTGGTTTGGCGTACGCTGTCAATAATGCTTTGACAAGTATGATCTCGCCAACAGGACCGCTTTCGCCAGTAGGAACGACTATGACACTTACTATTAGTATGCCGATATGAAGTTACATGTGGAGTTTGGATTCTTCATTATACCCTCCGAGCTGTTGGAAAATCGCCACCAGAGCTAATAAATTTCTGTGAGCATTGCCACTGATATTATCGTTGGACTTGAGAGGAGAGACTACTATTCCCGACTGGTAAGTCATCCTGACCATACGGATGTTAGATTTTTGATTCTGAGAAGTATCGAGCGACTTTGGATTCTGAGACTTGCTCAAGTGAGACCTGAAGAGCAGTATAGGGTAGTTGAGCCCCACTCCCTGTTCCAAGACCGCTGGCAAGGAGATAAGCAGCCCATTGCACTGTCGGTGTATTGATGTTGATCAGGGTCAACCGTCCACTACCCATGGACGCAGTGACTCCGCAAATTATGATGAGGGGAACATGAAATCGCTGTGAGCCTACGATGCGGAATCAGCAAATAATGGGCAAGGAAAGAAGGATACTGGTAAAGGAGCATCCAACTATGTTCGTTGAATTCAAGGAAGTCATGGATTCCCGTGGGCTCAGTATCAACGAGTGCATCCCCATAGAAGATACGCGTTGAGGCATCCACTAAAGCTTCTCCGCACCACTTGTAGAGTGAGACAACGATCTCTTCCGGTGTGGACGACAGGATGGAGGACTTTGGGACCGTGCTCCAATGTGTTCCATGCTCGAATTCCGTGAGGTTTTTTCTATTCAGATTCTCCAGATGCGGTCCAGGACATAGCTGAAGTCTATGAAAGTTACTGAACGCTGGACCAGGTGTTTGCCTTTTGTTGGGTCTAGATGCTTTTCATGCGCCAATGGAACTTCCCACGTGGTATCCCCGCCCTTCAGAGGCATCCCAAACGATAAATGGAAGCCTCGAATAAAGAGATCGAACGATAGGGTCGGAGTATTCGGAGTCGTTATATAGGTCACCATTTACAGCTTGTTGCCAGCAACCGTTAGTGTGCAAGGATCGTTGTTGAAGTGTTCTCTAATCAGCAAACAAGTTATGTTACTCTTCAAGACCCTTTGGACATGTCTCATGGATCTATTGTATTTTGTTCAAACGAACCTACCTTCCATGAGTGAAAAATGCATCTCGGTCGTTGAAAAACCATCTCGCATAACCTGTTATAAATTGCCCGAGAGCACGCCATGAACAAAGATACATTCGCCAACTTCTGTAATCGGACGTGAGTCTAGTCACTGGTGTCGGTATGAAGGAGATTCTACTTACAAGGAATCCAGTACGGCAGTGGTTTTGACTCAGATGTGTGGGCAATATGATAGGCTATGCCCAATACAATTAGGGCTAGGGCTATATATGAATGCTATGTAAATAGATCGCATACATAGATAGGTAGAATATAAGGAAAGAACTTCATGCAGTGGGCATGGGCCTGATATAAATGGGCTAATTACTAATTCATACCCCGAAACTATGAATCCTTACCGAATCATACCCCTAATTACTGAATCATACCCCTAGGGGTATGATTCAGTAATTTGCCATTACTTGGGGTATGATTCGGTAATTTGCCATTCATGATAAAAATCGCAAAGGAGAAAATTCGCGACCTGGGCCATCCGACCATAGAAAAGAGGAAATATCTCCGACCGTATTCAATGGGTGACCTACCAGCTTAAATACATCAGACGAAAGCCGAGTGGGTGTTAGCAGCAGCCCCCACGGGGGCCCTATTTAGGTTCAAATAGGGGTGTCTGGCTGTCAAGCGCAGACACCCCCGGGACCAGGCTTTTTTTGCGCTTGACAGCCAGACACCCCTATTTGGACCTAAATAGGGCCCCCGTAGGGCCGTCGCAGGGCCCCCGTGGAGGCTGCTAACAGTGGGCTAAATTTGGCCCACCAGCCTGTCTACACCCAGTCTTCACTCCCAATAGTCTACACAGCAAGTTTGGTAAATTACCGAATCATACCCCAAGCAATTAATCCTTACCGAATCATACCCCAAATTTTGGTGTAGGGGTATGATTCAGTAATTAGGGGTATGATTCGGTAAGGATTCATAGTTTCGGGGTATGATTCGGTAATTAGCCCGATATAAATGCAAAAAGTCGCTCGCCAAATCACTAGAGATTCGTCCCTTCGAGTTATCCGATTTCGGCTTATGGCCTATCCCTTTCCTTGAGTGCGGGACGTACACGCTAGCAGGGACCAAATGTAGGGATTATCATTGGTCACATCTTGCTTAGCGAAGCAAAATCTCTATAAGCAAGATAAGATCAGTTAGACGCAGTGATGTAACCAATAATAATCCCTACATTTGGTCCCTGCTAGCGTGTACGTCCCGCACTCAAGGAAAGGGATAGTAAATCGAATTGCTTCGGGGGTTATATCTCAGCTTTCCAGGCGTGTTAGTTCCACATATGCGTTAAGTGGACTGATTACCCTGGCATACTATAGCCATAGCTATATGGCTGTTGCCTATGACTATGTCACCCATGGCTACTGTTGCCAATGGCTATGTCATCTATGGCTATGTTTGCCTATGGCTATATGGCTGTAGCCCTCAGCTACATTATGGCTAATGATCATAAGCCGTCAAAATTAATACTTCCTCTTTATTTGGCTACTGGGAAGATAGAGATAATAAAGTAAATAGTTAATGTTACTCTTCGAAAAAATCTTTATAAAGAAAGTAGAGAAAGTAGAGAAATAACGTAAACTTTTAATATAGCTCTTTAATTTATTCTTCTAGAATAGGTGGCGATTTAAGATATAAGATATCGTTTAATATAGTTAGAAGAGTTAGAGGTAGATATAGATATAATAGATTATTAAATATTAACCTCAGATATCGTCTCTTAATTTATTATTTTCTTATTATTTAAGATATTAAGAGTCTCTCTAGCTTCGTAAAGACCTAATAGAGATTTCGATTTATTTTAATATATATTTAGGCTACTTAATCTCGAATTTTTATTATTATTTATATTCTCTAGAGAGTTAATAGAAACTTCTCTTTCTATTTAAGAATCTCGTATATCTTTAATTTTTTCGATTCGTGGCGACGGTGTAATATTTATCGATAACTCAACACTCGCTATTACTAGTACTTATTCGGCCTAGTTATTAATATATAAAGGCTATCTTCTTATATATAGAGTTCTTCTTCTTTAGACTTTATAGATATTATTAAGAATATTATATCTAGTAATTAGTCTCATTATAGTAGTAATTATATACTTAGATATTATTAATATTAATTAGTATACTTTAATACTAGTATATAGATTAGTAAGGCTATACTTTAAAGGAAGTCCGTCCCGATATCGCCGCGATACTTCACACGATTCTATATTACTTAATCGATTTCACTTATTATAACAATTCGATTAAATAGAACTATAATTTCTATAATTCCTACGACTTCTACTTAGTAGAGAAAATACCTAGAAAATATTACTAAGCTTTATATTACATTAACACATAACACATACCCAAAATAAACTCCAAGAATAAGAAACCTGATTCTTCAGAGACACCGCCAGGCACCAAGCGTAAGTTAGAGAAACTACTAGGAGCCAAGCCACTAGATACTAAAGAGGAGCTTCAGGAGTTCATTCGTTGGAGGGTACAATAATACACAAGACACAAATTTACGACACTCTCTAACGTCTTTACTAACGACTTTGCCCAATACGTCAGAGAAGACTTCGAGGTTCTTGACAAGGACGTCATTACCACCCTACGAGATTGCCTACAGGCCAATAAAGCATATGTCAAGAAAGAAAGAGGACTCTCAATGGCCAAAGAATTAGCGGACGTAATCAAGGAAGAGATCCCATAGCCCCCAGACGACGAAGGCCGTCCCCCACCAAAACCATCTCATTACTATCCTCAGCAACAACCGGCTTATCATCAGCCCTATCAACCGGAGAACACTGTTCCTCTCCCGCCGCAACAGCCTTATCAGCAGCCTTATCGACCGGAGAACACTGTTCCTCTCCCCCGCAACCACCTTATCAACCAATTGTCGAAGATACCACTCCAGTCCACCCCCCCCCTACTCCAATTGTCGAGGATACTACTTCAGTCCACCCTCCCCCCACTCCAATTGTCGAGGATACCACTCCAGTCCACCCTCCCCCCCACCCCAAGCGACGGCCCTCCACATCAGCCTCAACAACAGCCAATGCAGTCAATTCAGCAACAACAGCCTGAGGATACCACTGCGCTCCCTCCCCCCCCCACCACAAACTGCGGCCCAGATTACCGAATCCCACACCTACTACCCTCACCCTACCAAGTCATTCAGGACTTCGGGACCAAACAAAACCATGGCCATAGCAAGGAACTCACTACACTGGCCAAATTGTACACTAGCGAGGAGAAGTACGGTAGGAATCCTACCGAGAGTCTCAGCTACAAATTCACGATTTTCATGGACCTCTGCACGAGAGCCGAGATCCCCCAGCAGATCCTTCAAACAGCTCATTTTCTCGCCTCTCCGCTCGGCTACATTCATGATACGGAGGAGCGGAAGGCTACAGGCCAAGGATAGGTGCATGGAGTATATGGACGGTGCATTCTTGATGTAGCTGTCCAGGGATTTAATCATGAGGGTCCATCTTTCTCTTATTGCTACTAGAAATACACCTAGCATGATCAGATCTACGCCCACAGCAAAGGGAGGGATTACAGCCATGGAGAGTATTGCGGAGAAGGATTTGAAGAAGTAATAGTTTGATAGCAGGCGAATAGCCTCATCTTTTTTGGTTTTTGCTAGTGTCGGTAACTCAACACACGCTACCACTAGTACTTATTCGGCCTAGTACATTGATATATAAAGGCTATCTTCTTATATATAGAGTCCTTCTTCTTTAGACACAATAGATATCATTAAGAATATTATATCTAGTAATCAGTCTCATTATAGCAGTAACTGCATATTCAGATATTATCAACGAGTAAAGGCCTATGAATTAAATTCATAATAATTTTTTTAATCAGGGCTATCGAGTAAATAGGTGAGCGATCTTTGGTGAGCGAACTTTGATGAGCGATATTTGAATTCCTTGCGCTTTAATGATTATAAGACAGATTTTCAAGATTCTTAAAAATTCGGAAAGCGCAAATAGCGCTTCAAAATTTAAAATAAAGAATTTCAAAATTTTAATAGAAAACAAAAAGGTTATTACTTTTGTGAATAACGTACACATATTTTTTGATGAGGGAGGCGCGGGAGGGCGAGATTTTGATGGTTGCGGACGCTAATTTATTTACCCGCGGTGTCTAACCAAAAAGCGTAGACCTAACGAATTGATGATTGGCTGCACATACAAATTCAAGGTTTTCTAGTTCAGCTCTATCTTATTCTTTTATATATACTAATAATATTCGATATAGGCCTTCTATAATTCTTTTTATTATCGTTATCGCTAGATATAGTCTTAATATTACTCTAGATAAAGATATTATTAAAATTATTATTATTTTAGCGAGTAAAGATAATATCTATTTATATAGAGTTATAGGCTATTAGAAATAAAGTTAGAGTTATTAATTAAACTCCCTTACGATTCTTATAAAAATAAATATTTATAAACTATTTAAATCGATTATTCTAAGAGTTATAAATTCGATACTAAGTAGATAAATAATAATTAATATATATACTCTAGTAGATTATAATATATAGCTTACTTTCTCGTTTCTCTTTTAATAGATAAACTAAGTATAGATAATCGAAGACTTTTTCGTAATTTAGATTCGATTTCTTATTAAATTATAGTTTATAAAATAACTTACTTTCTCTACTACTATATAATAGTCTATTTTTTAAATAATTTATATAGACTACGATCTTTAATTAGAAGCTTATAAATAGGTCTAACTAGCTAAGTATAAGTCTTATAAATTTATTCGATAAATTTATTTCCTCTATATCTCTTACGTAGAGATATAGATTCTTTAGACGATACGCTTCGATATTGTTAGAAAATAAATCGTATATCGAATAATAATATTAGTAATATCATATAAATGAAATATTAACTATAAAGATTGCTAAGTAATATGTATGTCGAAGTTATTAGAGTGTTAAGTCGCTAAGAAGCTAGCCCGAATAGAGTCTAGCGTAAGTCTAAAGAAGGAATGCCGATTAAAACTATGATATTACCCCTCTTCTCAAATGGTTATATCTCTATAATTCAAATCATGGCGACGGTGAGGTGGCAATAGCGAGACGATCGTTATAATCCATGGTGCACTGGCCTTTACCCTATTTTCTTAATCATTAGAAAACTAGAATCGCGATTTTAGCACCTCTATCTAAAAAATAAAAAAAGTGCTTTTCTTAAATAGCCTCACAACGATAACTTACAACGCTCTAAAAACTTTATAGATTTTAATAATTATACGAGAGATTAAGAATATCGAATTATAGAAGATTTTAATTATTCGTTCTATTATAGAATAAAAATTTAATAATATTCTTAGATTTTCTCGAGATAGTCTTAACGGTAAAAAAATAGCCGAGGTAAATTTTTAAAGTTCGCGATATATCCTCGCTTTTTACATCTCACTTATAAGATTAGAATTAAAAACTTTCTAAATTTAAGAATAGATTTCTTAATATAGTAAGTAGATTTCATAAAGTTTTTAGACTGTAAAAACGAGTGGTGGTGAGGTTATATAGGAAATTCAAATTTTTGATATTTGATTATGAGGGGGTGCCAAAATCGCAGGATTTTTTTTAGTTTCCCAATGATTAAGAAAACAGGGGTATGGCCTAAAGTATATTTGCTACCCCCTAAAATAACAACTTTAAACTTTTTCTCGCAGACACTCTCAGTGTCCGATCGTAGCATTAAGCCAAATCTTATATAGTAGGCCTGCGGACGCAGGCAATAGAGGTATCAATGTGGGGCAATAGCCCGGGAAGGTGCTTGAAGTAATGGTGTGGGGTGCTGAGCAAAGTCCGATGATTTGCCGAATCGAAACTGATTTGAATGCGCTAGCCGCATGCGGCTAGGCGGAACGATTATTGCTGATTAGGGAAAGAAGAAGAAATCCATTACTACTACTACAGGTAAGGCCTATGCCGTCATTACTTCTCCACAACCTTCTCCACAGCCTTTTCCTTAGCCATAATAACCTTTACCTCTTCAAACGACAATACCTTTAAGGCCATACATGTCTTAGTCTAATTAAGCCGATAGCTATAGCCAAGGCATTTAAAACATCAATTTTCTTTCTTCAGCTAATCCTTCAGCTATTCCGAATAAAGTAATCGCTATAAGCCTAATTTAAACTCCTATTTATCAATCTCTTTCATATTTATATATATAGTCTTTAATTAACGAAGGTCTTAATTAGTCTTTCGCAAATACTTAATAACTAAGCGAAAGAAAGATAATAAGATATTAACGATTCGTAATTGAAGTTTAAGAGTAATAAGTCTTCGTAGTATAGCGATCTTATAATTTTCGCTATAGCTTAATAACGTAATAGTAGCTGAAAATCGAGTATAGAACTCGTTAAATATCTTCTTCTTTTTTATAGTAAACGTTAGATTATAGAGTAGGGCGTTATTCTTTATTAGCTTATCGTAATTATTAAATATACTATAAAGCTCTAAAATCATCTCTTTCGTAGTGTTATAGAGATTCTCGCTTAGTAAATCTACTCGTATCTTAAGTATATCGAATATAATTAACTTATAGTAATCTCGAATATAATTTATTTTATCTTTTTTACTAAGAAATAATATAGTATTTTACTAAAACTTGAAGTTTAGATGAAATTGTTACTCGTTCTATTTCTCTTTTTCACTATAGAAGTAGAGTATATTAGAGTATTTCTTATTATTTCTAATAATAAGAATAGTAGAAATAGATATTCCCGTCTTAGTAACTTTTAATTTAATTAATTATTTATTTATATCGAAATTTAAAGACTTTACTAAAATAACTATTTCTTCTTTAATAATTAAGGTCTAAATTTTAGCCTATAATTTCGTATTCGTAGTAGTAAGAGTCTTTATATTAGAACGATAAAGATCCCATAACTCTCGAAGTCGTATTACGATTATATTAAGATTCTAAATAGTAGTATTAAGGTTACGAATCTAGGCCTAATAATATTAAATCGTTAATAACGATTTAGGATAGATTTCTTCTTAATCCGAGTTTATAACGAATTAGATAAAGATCTCTTCACTGATATAGATAGATAATAGATAAGATAAGCGAGAGATAGTCGAAATATCTTCTCGCAGAGGTAGGTAGGTAGATAGATAGGCAGATAGGGAATTATTTGAATATCTCCTCCACAATAAGGCGATTGAGTAGTCGATATTCGAGAGATCCTCGTAGAGATAGAGTAGGTAGACAGGTAGGTAGATAGGGAATTATTTGAATATCTCCTCCACAATAAGGCGATTGAGTAGTCGATATTCGAGAGATCTCCGTAGGGCAAGGCAGGTAAGTAGGCAGGCAGGTAGGGAATCGTCTAGATATCTCCTTCATAATAAGGCGATTAAGTAGTCGATATTCGAGAGATCTTCGTAGAGTAGAGTAGATAGATAGATAGAAGTAGATAGATAATAATAGCTTAGCTTACGGCTATATTAAATAGTTAATATTATATTAGAGAATAAATCGTATATCGAATAATAATATTAGTGATATTATATGAATAAAATATTAACTATAAAGGTTACTAAGTAATATATATATCGAAGTTATTAGAGTATTAAGTCGTTAAGAAGCTAGCTCGAATAAAGCCTAGCGTAAGTCTAGAGAAGAAATATCGATTAAAACTATAATAGATATAATCTAATTATTAATATATTACTAGTCGAAAATAATTAACTTATTCTTATTTCGTAGATATAGATATACTTTTATTTAAAGGTCTCGACTTTCTAGAAGCGAATACTCTATTAAATATCGATTTAGTTAACTAATATAGACTATTTCTTATATAACTTCTTACTATTATCTTATCTATAAATATATTAATAATTCTAATATATAGATTTTCGAATTATATCTTAAAACTCTTTCGATCTAATACTATAATAGATAGTAGATTATTACTTATTTTTAGAATATATAGAGTATCTATTATAGTCTATATATAATTATCTATACGAATTCGAATAATTCTTTTATCTATCGCTATTAACTCGCCTTAATTATCGAATTCTATCTCTTTCGAATAAGGCTATAAGTTAATAAATAATTTCTTATTTAATATTATATAGCGAGTCGCTTCGAAGTCTATTAGTTAGTTATAGTCTTCTAAAAAGTCTACTATTATAAAGAAATTCTTTATTAATAGTACACTATCTATAGACTCTAGCTTTTCTCTAGTTATCTATAAGTCTTTCTTTTAATTATATATATCGCTTATATCGCTAATATTACTATCGCTATTTAATTTATTCGCTACTACTATAGTATAATCTAAGTATTCTCACTTACTATCTTTAAATATCTTTAAATTCTTTAATCGATTTTTTAATTTACAATTTCGCTTATTTAAATCCTTCGCCTT